TTCTCTATTTCAGAAGGGAACTTATATGCTTCAAATGAAATGAATGCTGTGAGGTTTTACATGAGCACTAACCACAATGCACTAGAACAGGCGAAACATAGGTTAAAGTCATGTCTGGCTTCCCCATTAACATTCACAGCAAAAGCTTTGTTTTCCGAGAGCTTATGCACTGCGAGCGTCGAGAGCCAAGCTCTTAAAAGATAGTCTGAATGGCTTCAAAGGTATACCTCATCTCCTTTGGAAAATCCATGTTCATTGCATAAAGTAGGCCAAAGAGGTATGCAAAGGCAGTAGAGAGGTCTGGTAGGTCATGCAGTACAATGGTCCCTTCCAACACAACAGCCACGTCTCGCACATTTGGCGATATGGCGGCATCATCATCTTCAATGACGGTGAGGATGGCCACAGACACACCTCTGAGCAATCGTTCTTCATGGTCAGTGTCCTGAGGAAAAGTAAAATATGCATGAATGAGTGCTATGGAAAACTAAACAACAAAATACATATCCACTGATTCTAACTTTAGCACCAATCTACTGAGTCTTACCATTCAGCTTGTGGAGGTTATAATTGCAACTCAACAGCACGGCATCTCTGGGCTCAAAATTAAATCTTACACAAAGTGTATTGTGCATAAAATGTATAACTAGTTTAGCTAGTTCCAGAGGTAGATAAAATAGCTAAGTGTGTTTGGTCTAACTTGAAACGTGTGTTTTGCTCCGCTCATCGGTCCGTCAGCGGCTGAGCTTTAGGTGAGCACTGAGCTGCGTGACCTAAACACGGCAAGTGTTGCGGCAAAGTATATATTTTTTCTCTCTCTCTTAATTCCCCAAGCCCCAAAATTCACTCGATGATTAATATACCCGTTTTAGGAAAAGTCACGAAGTTTGAGATGTGTTTTACCCTCAACTAAACAACAAGACCTGTAACACAACAATGTCAGAGTCACCGGCTGCCGGCTACCCCAATAAACAGACGTTAATAACCGGTGTAACGGCGGAACAACAATGCCGCCCCCCCCCCCCGTTCCGTGTATCGTCACACATACACACAAGTTCTGTATAAAACGTATGAACACGGCTCACAGCGAAAATGTATAACACATACATTTCCGCCAGTCAAGGCTAAGTTTCAACACAGCGGCAACGTTGTCATATCCCAATCAATGCTGTGTGTAAAGTTATAGCGTTATATGTCTGGCTCGGTTTACTTTAACACCGGTCATCTCACCATTTAAATGCATTATAAACGCCTTCAGGTGCTTGAACAGAAATTCAACGCCATCTGTAGCTAAGCTAGCAAACCTAACTGTGGTGGGTAGTATCTATATTTTGGTTTAAATAGTACAGTGCACTTTACTGTTAACATTCCTTGTTAGGTAAAACACACACTTACCTGATTAGGCAAACGAGGTAGACAAATGTCCCAAGAATCCCCAACTTCACAGCGATGTGTCTGACAAATTCACTCAGCGCAGCTCGCCCGCTCAGAGACACTAGTGACAGCCGGGACCCTGCAGAAACCCCGTAGACGAAAGCAATGCGCATGCACGCACTGCATAGCAAGCAGTTGACATTCAAATGTAAATATTAACTATTCTGATTGGAGGGGAGAAAATACATATTTTAAGAAGGAGAACTCTGATTGGTTGCTCATTTCATATATGTATTGACGTTCAACTTTTACTGGCTCTCTCTTGCATCTTGTCTGAGGTGAGTGTGTGACTGTTCTTATAAATTCATTGTGAAGCTGGTTAAGATTTGTTTCTAAAATAAGGGCACATTTATGTCATTTATTAACAAGCAGGTTAAATGCTTCAATAGCTTAAATAAAGTAATGTTTGAAGTCATTCAACTATGAACAATTAAATATATTTCAAGGCATACTTTATTTATTCAAGGTTGGAAGAAGTAATCTGATCCTTTACTTTAGAACAAATACTCATTAGCACATTTCTTTGCTAAATATACTTCAAGTATCAAAAGTTAGGGATGCAAACTTGTCACCTTTTGGCGAAATTCGCCGTTTTGAATCCAAAATAGGTCGTTTGTGTGATTCATGTAGATCTGCAATAAAAATATTTTTGGGGTATGGGGGGGTCTGGGACCCGGAGTAATCTGCGGCCGGGAGCTGTTATGTGCCATCATGACATGTATGGTGTATATATATATTATAATGCAGCGCGATCTGTGTGCTCCCTGCCTGTCGGCTCTGCTGATCGATGTATAATAAGGCTCTGCTGCCGTGATGTGCACTGAAAAGTGTTTCTGTCGCAATATTATCGTTGTCGAGCTAGCTAACTAGCATACATTGTCACTATCTGCTAACGTTAGCTTTAGCCTTCGTTTTCTAATAGTTTTTTTCATAGGCTATAAACGGAGGTGGTATAAGTACTCAGATCTTGTACTTGAGTAAAAGTAGAAGCACTCAGATCTTGTACTTGATTAAAAGTACTCAGATATTGTACTTGAGTAGTGGGGGGCAGGGTTCCCGCGGGGTCTTAAAAAGTCTTAAAAAGTCTTAAATTTGATCATCTGAATTGAAGGCCTTAAAAAGATCTTAAATATGACCAAAAAAATAAGAAAGGTCTTAAATATGATTTAGAAGGTCTTAAAAATGATGGGATTTGAAAGGTACTTCTGTGTTGCGATCGCGTCTAAAATGTGTTTTGGGGGAAATGTCCGGGCTGCGAAGTAACGGTAATAGCCTTTCAGTTCCCCCCAACAATTTGTATTGAAATAAATCAACATGGAACCAGTAATCACTAACTTTGTTTCCCCCGGCCCCTTAACGGAGAACACCCAGCTAGTAACCTAGCAACCAAGCTTCAGCTAGCGGCAGTCAGAAACTCATGTCTCTTCGAATCTACTTACAAATAAATATGGGGAAGTGTAAGTTCAACCGTATTTGGTTGGAAAACATCGAATTTAGTGCTTGGTTGAAATCAGTGGAGGGGAACGTGTTTGAAGCCTGCTGCACCCTTTGCAAAAGAAATTAGCGTTTGTTTGGCTAATGTAGCGTTAGCTAGTGCAGCGTTAGCTAGTCCAGCAGCTCCCGCAACAACACCGTTGGACCTCCGGGCGACGTTTGGGTCTACGTCAACCCTAAAAGCGGAGGTGCTGTAGTGTATACGCTAAATACCGTAGTTAAACACCAATCATTCAACAGCAACGATGAAAGATTGTAGCCAAGGCAGCAGAGCTCTGAATATAGCTCTTGTTACTCACTCTCTCTCTCTCACACACACACACACACACACACACACACTGCTCGATTATGGCAAAAATCATAATCACGATTATTTTGGTCAATAATTGATATCACGATTATTAAATAACATTATTCATTGACTTTGAAAACATCCATTTATTGAACTTTAAAACAAATAATAATTTGAACAGTATCTTTTTAACTGTTGATTACCCTGAACGTATAATTCAACTGAAAAACCAATACAAAAATTAATTAAATAAATGATATATTTAAATAAATAATATCAAAATAATAAATACCAATAAACAAGATCAACAAATATTTTGGAGCGCACTTCCACAAGCTACTAAACATATATAAATAAAAATAAATTAGACTAAAATTAATTAGATCAAATATGTCGTAGTGCACTGTCACAACCTAGCAAAGCTAAATAATAGTTTTTTTCGATTATGTTGTTTTTGTAATTGTGGCAGGCCAAAATCGTAATTGCGATTTAAAATACGATTAATTGCACAGCCCTAACACACACACAAGCACACACAGAGACACATACACACTTTTTGGCTAACACAGTTCTGTACTGTTATGCTGTTATGTTCAGTCATTGTTCTTATGTTGAACATGAATACATTTGATTTGTAAGTAATTATGGGACGTATTTCTTCTTTCACAGCAATTTTCCTTCATACTTTCTTGCCGTGAAATAGGTCTTAAATTCTATTCGAAGTGGTCTTAAAAAGGTCTTAAAAAGTCTTAAATTTGAGTTGGCGAAACCTGCAGGAACCCTGGGGGGGGGGGGGGGGGGGGGGGTGCAGAGCTTCGTGACCGCGGAGCGTGTGAACGTTGTGATCAGCTGTTTTAGAGACCGACTCTGCTTTGTGACACAAGTTACGGTAAGCATTTCAGATTGTTGCCGCGCATGCGTACCTGCGTACCAGTTATGTGCGCCCCTGGCTGACATGGATGACAGTTAAGACACACACAGACACACTATAGCTCAGTTATATTTTTAATCAAAAAACTATTGAACACTGAAGTAACTATGATTGAATTGACTACAAATATGGCAATGGTGGTAAAGACTACAACAGCCATAATCCATTCTTTGTTTCAGGGACCTCTGCACCTGACCCTTTGATGTGTGATATTTTCATAACATGTCTGCATAGCAAGCAGTTGACATTCAAATGTTAATATTATATATTTCGATTGGAGGGAAATTACAAAAATATTTTAAAGAAGGAGAGCTGTGGTTGGTCGCTCATTTTTTAAAATTCGATATATAGTTTGGTTAAACCAGAGACTGTCCTCTCTTTCATCTTATCTTGTCTGGGGTGAGTGATCATTCCTCTTGTGAATTAATTGTGAAGCTGGTTAAAGCAGAATGTCTAAAATAAGGAGCTTATTTTTGTCATTTATGAACAAAGGAAAGCTGGTTAAATGATTCCATAGCTTAAATAAAGTAATTTTTTGAGTCATTCAACTATGAACAATTAAATATATTTCAAGGTATACTATATTCAACGTTGGAAGAAGTAATCAGATCCTCTACTTTAGTACAAGTACTCATTAGCACAATTGTTAGCTAAATGTACTCCAAATATCAAAAGTAAAAGTACTCTTTATGCAGAATTCATATTTTCACAGAATGATATTATGGTAATTGTATTATCCTGTTTTTATAAATGCAAGAGCATTTAAGCATTTACAACGTGGACCAAATGTTTAATCACCATGTGTGCAAGCATTGTGTTTGCAAGGTTTAATTTTAATTTTAATTTCACAGAGTGACGACTATTGAGCAGTTCATTACTGGTGAGTGTTGGTCAAAGACAGTGTTTGTAGTAACATATACCATGACAATATGTGGAACTTTCCAGTCTTTTCTTTGCAGGGTTTAATGCTGTGTTTTCCTAACAGATTGACAGCTTTGAGCAGTTCTCTACCGGTGAGTTGTGGTCCAAGACACTGTCAGTAGCATAAAGTATAATGAAAACAGATAGGCCCTTTATTAGTGTAAATCTAAGTGATTAGCAGCTTCTAATACAATTGATAATTTTTTTGTTTATAACTATTGTATGCTAAGCTATGCGATTGTATTGTACATTGTGTTAAGTAATTATATTTCCATGTCTGTGATGCTGATTAGTTTCTTCTCTGTTCTAGTTAAACAACCTACCGGCTTGACCAGCTACCCATCTACCTACTCATCTACCTTCTTCACTAGCTACCTATCTACCTTCACCACCTTCTCATCTACCTTCTTCACTAGCTACCCATCTACCTTCACCACCTTCTCATCTACCTTCTTCACTAGCTACCCATCTACCTTCTCATCTAGCTTCTTCACCAGCTACCCATTTAACTTCACCGGCTACTCATCTACCTTCAACACCCAGCTTTATCTCGTGAGCAGTTACAGTAAGTACATTTTTGTTGAACAGGATGCATCAACTATTAATGGACTTGTACGCTTTTGTTGCAGTTGAAATAAGTAATTGCGTAATTATTTGTACTATTTAAGGGGTCTGCTAATGTCTTTATTAATTCTAACAATGCCTACATACTTTCAGATGCCACGTGGTAAATCGTCCCGCCGTTCCCAGGCTGCAAAGCTACGCTTGGCTGGGACACGTGTGGGACATCAGCAGCCTGGCAATGCCAGTTTCGCACGTAAGTAGTCGAGGATTTTGTCATTCAATTTTGTATATGTTTAGGGTGTCCATTTTGGTTGTATCATTGTAAAATGTTTTTGCATGTGCATTTTTTACAGGCAGGCTCGTGCACAGATACACCCCTCTGTGGGCAAGCGAGCTAGTTATGATGAGGAGAATTGACTGAAATACACTTGATTTCTTTGCATTCATTTTTAGATAACTATCATGAAGCAGTGTTTGAAACATGGATTTGTTTGAAATATATACATTTTAAAATTCAATCACCGGTAGGACCCTTTATGCATTTGAGCCCTTTCCCTTCTAAAATCCTCTGCACGTGCCCGTTTACAGGTGTTATTGTAGGAAGGTGTGTTATTATTGCTTACATAATTTAAGAATTGTAAAGGTTCATTAAGTTTAATGTCGGTGTCATTTTCTCTGTTTTTAAATAGCCGCTGGCGGTACGGGTAACCGCCATAGAGTGCAGAAATGGCCAATTTCGTCCCTGACCGGACGACAACACAAGATGGTCATACCAGCGGAGTCTCCAGACAAGGAAGTATGAATTGTTTTCAGATTTTGTTAACAAAGTCTGGGTAATCATTAGTGATTTTCATTTGAAATAATGTCTTCTGTTGTTACAGTTTGTCCTCCTTGTTGGAGCTTCACATCTCCGTTCCATCGTCGATGGAATTGTGAAGATGCCAGAGGGAAGGTTTTCCTTTGGTGCCATGTCCACACCGGGGGCATGCGCAACCCAGCTGCGAACCGAGGCAGCCAATGCTGTGCTGCCTAGGACACCAGATGCAGTCTGTGTGATGGCTCCGAGCAACAACCTGACATCCAGTAGGACCATCACCGAAGCAGGAGAGGACTTTGCGAAGCTCCTCGCCACTGCCTGCAGTCGCTGGCCTAACGTAAGCTTATTTTTTATTGTATTTATTATAGTTCTTATAATATTACATTTTGTATTCTTATTGATGTGGTTGTATGTTTATGAATTTCTGAAAAATTGACATTTTTATCAACAAATTGTGAAAAATAGCGTACCTTTGTAACTTTGATTAGGTTTTTGCCATGGACTTCCCCCCGCGCCTTACCGTTGACCCTGACTACCAAGACATGATGCGTCAGGAATTTCGTCGTGTTGCGGCACGTATGGGTATGTTTAACAAATATTTAGGTTCAAGTACTACCGTAAATCATTTTTATCATTTTCCTATTTTTCATTATTCTTTGTTTTAAAAGAGCAAAATATAATATCTGTGTGGATATGTTAGTAATTGATGTTGTTGGTTTTTTTAGGCGTGAAGTACACACCGCTTGCAGAGTACTTCCCTTTCAAAGAACTTGACCTGTGGAGCAGAGATGGCGTGAGTGACATGGCAAATGGAAACGTTTTCTCTGTATACTTGTTTGTAGCTGAAATTCCAAGTTCCGTTCTTGAAAAAACATATTGAAGGTTATGTGCTATTTGTAAATGTATTTGTATTTGCTGGTTTTTGCAGGTACACTTGAGTGACAGTGTGGGAATGCCAATCCTGGTCGGTTCTATCTGGAACGCAACATACATGCAACTTGTTCCAGCCGAGCCGAAGCCATCTCCTGTTGTCCACAGAAGATCACCGCCTGCGAGGAGAGTCACTCCAAGGGTGATTGTCAAAGGAGAGGTTGCCAAATCACCGCAACTGGATCCTTGTCAATCTGACATAGCTACAGAGTAATTATAAGATTTTCAACTGCATAATTACTCTGTAGCTATGTCAGATTGACAATAAAGAACCTTGAACCTTCCAAGTGGACAGTTTTCGGCCAGGGCAGGAAAGTAATTGTGTGGCAGACATCTTTCAATAAGAGTGATATTCCCTGAGCAGTTTGCCTTGATAATGATGGAAGAGTACCCATTTGATTAACACAAGCTATGCTATTTATCTTTACAGAGGAGCCAACACGATGAACCTGAGCAGTCCATTGATGCACTTAAAGAAGCAGGGACTGTTCAGCAGGAGGTAGGTCAACTTTGTAGTATGCTTTGAAATCATTGGGGTATGTTTATTGCAGTTTATATGTGCATTTCTTTTTCTAAAACAGTGTTTCTTCCTTTTTATTTCACAGGAATTGGAGGAGAGTTATCTTCCACTGACACCTGTGTGGTTTAGCAGTGCAATGTTGGTTGAGATGGACAAGATTAGTCCATCCCATCTTCCTGGCCCTGATGAGTGCACACCACCGGTTCCAACACCACAAAAGGTAATTTGTTTGTATGTTGGTTGATGCCCTATTATAAAATGTATCCTTCCTGACAAACTCTACAGTGAGGACAACTTATACTGTCCATAAGGAGTTATTAGTGGAGGATTAATCATTTTGTTTTCCTTACGTTAGAAAGCAAAGTTGGAGCTGAAGCAGAGGGCTCCTGCCTCCAAGAAAACCCTGGCAAAGCGACAGGTTGTTCTTGTTTTCTTCTTTTTTAAAGGCAATATAGGACTTGTTTAAAACTAAGAAGTTACACGAATATCGGTGGTGTTATTTATTCTCAAGTTTACTAAATTGTTTTGTTTTTTTAGGGGGAGGCAGCTCCCATTGTTGTGGAGGTGATTTTACGGCCACCTACCAGTAGAGGGACAGTTGCTGTGGAGCAGCAGGTCTGTGCTCTTTGTGTGAACGATGTGCTTTCAGAGTGACATTTGAATGAATCATGCTAATTTATTGACATAGTTACTTTTGCTCATTGTTAAAATAAAATAGTTTCAGTTGTTCGCCTGCATGCAGTCAACGTTGTTTCAAGTGTACACAATCAATGACAAGAAACCTCTCTTTTGAGTTCCATTCAATATGTGTGTGGGTAAGTAGAAAAACAAAAGTTAATATATAACAATAATCATTTTGTATTAGTAATTGTATATCTTTCTATTATTTAGTTAAACGTTTGTGAAACAATTTAAGACACATAGTGTTTTTAGCAGTTTTTTTATATATGAATTTTCTTCTAGGAGGAGCCATTGCCAGGAGTGGAGCCATTGCCAGGAGTGGAGCCATTGCCAGGAGTGGAGCCATTGCCAGGAGTGGAGCCATTGCCCCGCGCAGAGCCATCATCCAGCAAGGAGCCATCATCCAGCAAGGAGCCATCATCCAGCAAGGAGCCATCATCCAGCAAGGAGCCATTGCCCCGCGCAGAGCCATCACTGAGCGTGGAGCCATCATCCAGCAAGGAGCCATCACCCAGCGTGATAGTGGATGTTGATGAGGACAACGGATGCAGAACAGGTAAGGGCTATGCTTGCATGTGTTCAGAAAAAGTGCAGCTGGCTGTTGTCGCAGGGACTGTTGTGAGGTATGCATCCGTTTCTGACAATAAAATATCTGTTGCATGTTCTATAGCGGCTGCGATCAAACATTTGATTGCGCCTGTGTGTTCGTGGAGCAGTACAGATATCGATGCCATACGTGTTGCAGGGTCAAAGCTTAACTCGTTTGTATTAGGGGAAGCCCATAAAATGATTGTAAAGCCAAAGAACTTGTGCAGGTTGGTTGAGCAGACCAGTGTGTTTGGACGTAAGTGGAACGTCAATATGGGTCTGCCAGTGTACGGCAAATTCAATTTGTCTGAAGGGGAACAGGTATTGTCGGAGAAGCTGCTTGAACACTTATCCAGGGATGGCATGTGTCTGTTTAGCCTAAATTCCGCAGCCAGTGTCATTATTCAACACAATGACTGTATTGTGGTCGTTGATTGTGGCACACGTGCTGCGTCTGGGTTAGCATCCAGTTATGGCACATCTGTAGCCGTGTTCAACACATGCATTAATGACCTGATGTTTTACATCAGGAATCTCAATAATTCATTGAATGCACAGAAGTTTAGCATTACAAGACTTTCTGTGAAAGCAGCTGAAGTTAATTCGGAGACGGCTAGAGTCATTGATGGGGATATGGGGTGTGTCAGGGGAACATTCAGTCAGGGTGATCAACGCTTTAAATATGCAGGACTTCAGTGCATGGCTGTCAGTTTGGTAGGCATAGCCAAACACAACATTGACAGCGTGTTTACATGGCAGACCGACAACCTGGATAAAGTTGTTGTACTTGGTGACAATCTGTACACCTCCCTGCGTGACCAACAAGGTATCAGTGGAGGATACAGTCTACTTTCGGTTCCAGATCTGCCCAAGGAGACCATTATCGACGGACAAAGATTTCTGTTTCAATACAGTGACTTTGTGTCTGGAGATGTGGATGTGGTTGAGGGTGATCACATTGATCAGGGTGTGCAAACCACTTTAAAATACGCACTGGAAAGCATGTGTAGTACATATGACACGTGCTTTCTGACAATGAATGGCGCTACATGTGCCATCATTGGTCAAGGTGGACACTACGCAGTGGTCGACTCCCATGTGCGTCTGGGATGAGCGATGGCGAGGGGCGTAGTGTTGTTCCGTATTTCAGAGGCCTTGAACACGTGTTTGAATACATATGGACATTTGCAGCGTTCCTCAAGAAGTCTCAAAAACAGTTTGAGATCGCTGGTGTCCGAGTCACTCACATAGGCCCAATTGAAAGCAGTAATCTGTCTTTGGGTCCAAGAGTGACTCCCAAAACGACAGAGACTGATTTGGGTTGTAGTTCAACTATTCAGTCCACACTTGGCTGCACCAACATTCAGATGGGTGCAAAGCGTAAGATTCGTAAGGGATCTTCTGCTTGCAAAAAAATTAAAAAGAGTGATGTTACCGCAGATAATTCAGACGTTGCTTTTGTCAAAGAAGTAAGAAGTGGACGACTGCAGTTTAATCCTCTTAGTCATCAACTTGCACAAGCTCTTTGTGAGCAGTTACATGTGCATTCAGAAAAAGTAGATTTTGTGTCTACACAAATTGGTTTAATAGGGGCTCCATGTCTCAATGAAAAAATAGAGGGTGACGGAAACTGTTTCTTTAGAGCAGTGAGTCAAGCTGTGTGTGGTACACAAAGCCATCACACAATAATTAGGCGTGCAGTGGTTCATCAAATGCAGAGCAATGCTGTGCCTTATGAGCGTATTTTGACCTCCTCCATGTCAGAATACCTCAGCACATCCAAAATGCGGGAGGTTGGCAGTTGGGCAACAGAATTAGAAATTCAAGCAGCAGCAGATGCGTTTGGAGTTAATATATTCACATATTGTGATCCACGCTGGCTAAAATATAGTTGCGAGAACGGGCAGTTGTCTAATCAGGGGGTTTATTTGGAAAACCGCAATGGTAATCATTATGAGACTGTTGTGTGTGTAAAACAACCTAATTTGCAGAGTTGTTATGGGTATTGCAAATTTGACACTTCTTGTCCAAGACTGTACAATGTCAGACGGACAACTAGAGGCAAAAGGAGGGTTACCGAACAAACGCATGGTACATCGTCTGCTGGGGACACAGATTGTGTGGAAAAGAGTGATGTAAGTAAAGTCACTCTTGAATTTAATCCTTTGTGCAATGAAGTGGCAAAAACACTTTGCACAAAGTGTAATATAGACTTTGAAAAGCAGGATGTACAGGGACCTACAGTAACTGGGTCCCTAGGTGTGGTCTGTAAGACCGAAAAAATTAAAGAGGACGCCAATAGTTTCTTCGGAGCGGTAGCTCATGTTCTCAGTGGTTCTCAGAAGAGCCATCGAAAGATTAGAAAGACTGTTGTGAAGCATATGATGAATCACGCAGAACAAACTAAAGTAGTTGGGGGATCTGCTTCAATTTCAGACTACATTGAGAAGTCTCGGATGAAGTATGTAGGACATTGTGCCACAGATGTAGAAATCCAAGGGACAGCAAATGCTCTTGGAGTGGACATTTTTATCTGCAGTGGGGAAAAATGGCTCAAATACACTTGTAATTGTGCAATGCTTTCAAAAGAAAAAATATACTTGAAACATTGTGATAAAAATCATTTTGAGCCAGTGGTTTGTATCAAACCTTACGATGAACAAAGGTGCTTTGAATTTTGTAAAGTGGGGGGTTTGTCAGAGACACGGTCTATGCGTAGCAGTGTCGATATCTGTACTGGGAAGGGGGGTTAAAGACAATGCAGAGAGTGTTGCCAGCTGTAGTCGTAGGCATTCAACATATTTAAAAAAGATATACAGGTCACAAATTAAACTGCATTATAAAAGTAACACGGGGTACCAGCAAAGGATTAGGGATGCGTCCATGAAAAAGTATAGTGATGCAGATTATCAAGAGATAGTAAGAGTCGGTCTTAGAAAAAGGTATTTCGAGGATGATGATTACAAACTCAGAGCAATTGAAAAAGATCAGGTTAGATACCATGAAGACTAGGGATGTCCCAATCACCTTTTTTTGCTCCCGATCCGATTCCGATCATTTGATTTTGACAATCTGCCGATACCGATTTTTCCCGATCCGATCTTTATGCAATGCATTAAAACCTGTTTCACACCTTCCCCCCGGTACCGGGCGGATAAACGCGTCATTTGCAGGAAACAACGTCTAAGGAATCTTAATATTGAATAAAACTATGAATGTGTTATATCCATGTAACGGGAAGAAACTCAGCTAACTGATCTTTTTAATTTTTTTTTTTCAAAAAAAACCCACATTGCTAGCACTCAGCCTCTGAATTAGCCTCAAGCGAAAAAACGGGACCTACAAAGGCACTTAAACTCACTCATAACTCCCTTATTACTTATCCTAGATGCACAACCAACCACTCTTTTTTGGTGTCCTGGAGACACTGAATCTACCGGTGCCCTCCTCAACACTCAGTGATAAACATTCGCGACGCTCTAAACGAAAGCGTACATCATCACATGTGGAGCTAAGAAGCTAAACACGTAAATATGGCTTACCTTGGTCAAAAGTGGTCTTCAATGGCATTAAAACGATAAAAAAACGATGCTGCAGTTAATCCATAGGTTCATCCTATGTGTCTGTGCCTTCTTTGAAATTATTTCTGATAATCCATAAGCAATACAACTGCGTTTTAGTTTCCAAACTCCAGAAGGAGACATTCCTCCAGTTTGGTTTCGTTTTCCACACGCGAAGCAACCACATTTTTTCTTTACAACGTGTCTGGGTGGGAGCCTCCCCCTTCGATTCTATTGGCTCTAACGGTCACAAGGGTATGTCAACCAACCAAATCGAGCAAGGGGGGCCAGAGATAGGTCAAATCCACCCAAATGACCCCAGATGGCCCAGTTTTTGGCTAAATCTCTCTAAAAAGGTCAAATTTCACTTGTTTTGCATCAATCTTGATACAGGGTACTTATTATATGTTGTACTTTGGATTCCTAAAGCTTTTAGTCTACTAACCCATCATCCAAGGGTAGTTTTCACTATCTGTAAAAAATAATTTTTGGACGGACACTATAATTTACAGTTTTTTACTATGTAAAATCTGAATTTTCTTTAAAATAAAAAACATTTATATTGATTCTGACACTTCTACATCCAACTCACAGGTTTATCATTACTTTGAGAACAAAGATTATTAATTTAACCCTTTTAGAAGGGAAGATATGGTCATTTGTTCTGGGAATGTCATTTTCGAGCCTGAGACCTGAAAAACAGGCTCAGAGTGGAACAGAGAAAAAAACAGAGAAAAAAAATGGAAAAAGCATTCAAGTTGTCCCTTAAGGTTATTTTTTTATTTAAATGACAGTACCCAACTACCCATTCTATCCAACATGGAT